ATCTTCCTCTGGTAAACCTTTTCACTGTTTTGTCATCCAACAGTCAGTAACTAAAATGAGTCTCTGAATATTTCAGCTTTTAACAAATGCTCTTTTAATAGAAGTGTCTAAAGAACACAAATGAAACTGGGAATGCAAAGGAGGCAACATTATGAAAATATCAAGCAACAACTTCTATATATAATAAATCACTGACTCAAGATGGACTGAATTATCTATATGCAAGGAATACTGCCATCTCAATTTACAAAGGAGGGTAGATTTTGCTTCTGACTTTATGCCACTTAGTCCACATTATTCAAACCAGAATGAAGATCTTGTTCTATGCATAAAAGTAATTCTTGCTAGCGTGTCAAACCACATAATACTGTATATAAGAAAGCATCCAGAGAGAATATGTTCTATCAGCAGTTTCTCATCAAGATTCTGTTTTTGGCTGTCAAAGCTGAAGTCATGCAGTTGTGTGTCACAGCAGAAGTCAAACAGCCATTCTTGTTCCATTTAAAATTAAAAACAAAAAGGGCACAATTTCATCATGCTAAGATTTACATGTAACAGCATACATAGTCTTCAGCTACATAATTATTTTAATAAAGCCTGGTTTAGAAAAACTAAAAATGCCTGGTATGCTAAAATACATATTGGCATTAATTTACTTCATTCACACTCAGCCCAACTGGGACCCATCATTCTTTTCACCTCCTATCCTGTGAGGTAAGTTAAATTAAAAGTGGGTGACCGGCCTGAACTCACCCAACAGGCTTTCATGGCAGAGGGGGAATTTGAACCTGGGTCTACCAGATCCAAGTTCAACATTCTAACCACTACACCTAAGTGGCTCTTAACACAACAGAACAGTATAAGAAGACAATTCTGTTAATTTCTATTACATGTAAGTTCACAATATTTCTAAAATATATGTAAAAATTCAGCAAGATTTCAATGACAGTATAAAGCCCTTTATTTACAGGGATGGTTGTTACCACTATTTCTTTAGCTAACTACAGTCATATAAAATTGCCCTGAGGTAGGGTAATCAACCACTGATTTTTTAAAATTATATTTAAACCAGCTTTTAAATCTAAAATCAGATTTCATTTTTTGTGCTACAAGTTAATCTGAAAAAAATAAACATGCTTTAAAAGAAATCAGCATTTAATACATACATATTAAAGCCTAAAATTCTATTAACTTGAATCCACAACCCTGTAGGAAATTAAGTAGGATTTAAGACTGTTTTTTAATATCACCCCCACCCTTTTTGGCATTAACTCACTCCACATATCACATCTGCACCGCGGGATGAAACTACATCACACAGGCCTCTCACCACATTGCCAGGATCCAATGAGATACCACCACAGATTTCTTGATGGCTCCCAACTGGCATGATTCGTTTTTTTTACTCTCCCTCTAACCAAGCTCTGCAATGTGTACATTTTTAAATGAATATTACTCTACTCTATACCATCCTATGAAAATCCATTCTGCCCAGGAAATTGCTTCTGGAAAGTTATGTACAAGTGAGTAATCTTACTTATAGTTCTTGCTTGCATATAGAGAGGCCAAACAGGAACATGGTAATTTTGTGAATGCAACCCTTCCACATCTCTAACTATACAGTTATATAGTGCAAGAAAGACATGAGTTGCATTATCAAAAATTATTTTAATTGTTAATGGCAGTCAAATAGAACATACATTTGTTCAGGAATGCATGAAGACATGAAAAACAGCCCTCCCTCAGAATTACCCACTTCCATCATTCCTTCAAATAATATAACTGGAAAACCTAATTGAAGTCTGTCTTCTGTGATAACAAACCATAATCTAAACTCAATACACCAGGTATGTCCAACAGGTAGACTGCGATCTACCAGTAGATCACGGAGGGATCAGAGGTAGATCACCCGCCACACTTGGTCTCCTGGTATAAAATAAAATATATATATGGTATCAGAATGATCTAATTTCTGTGCACTGAGGACAAGCAAGTCCTAGGTTACAAACTGAACTCTCCAATGCAAGAACAAGATGCATTTCTTCCTTTAGGAGGTGCTATTGTCAGAAGAAAATAAAAAGGTTTCAGTTTTGTTTTTACATGTGTGTGGGTATTGTTTGTAATAATTGTTTGGATACACTATATTTTTAATATGCTAGTTGTGATAATTTCATGCCCAGTAAAAATGTCCATAGTCATATTTTATGTTCCTAAAGTAACATAATGACTTTCAATCTAGAAAAGACAAAAGAAATGCTAATGTAGCATTTTTTTCAAGTTTTCCAAAAAATTCCGTTTTCCCCCGAAAAAAACTGGAAAAACCCAGGGTTTTTTTCCGAGCTTCAAAATTTCCAGAAATTTTACATCTCTAGGTGGAACCCAACTTTAGTGGGTTAAAATCTAATTTGAAACTAATTTGAAACTTTATTTTCATGGTGGTAGATCACCGGCACTTTTGGCCGGAAAAAATAGATCACTACCTGTTCGAAGTTGGACATGCCTGCAATACACCATTTTCTAAAGCAAAGATACATACATTGTTTTGATCCTCAACATTCAGATATGCAAAACAAGCCTATATGAAAAGTGAGACTTTTTTCAAACTCCTTTGACTCCCTTATTGCATTGTGCTAATGCTCACACTTGGAGATGCATCCCCCCTCATAAATCTGGCAACCATTAGAAGCAGCAGACAAGATAAAAATGCTGTTCCCAGCCTTTCAAGAAACAGATACAAAAAAAAAGTTTATAAAAGAAAAATGAGAAATAAAACTTACCACAAGCAAAAGATCTCATTTTGCACAAAGATAGACACATCTACATCTAAGGACACAAGTTAAGCCTTGGGTAGTTCACAGGATAACACGTCTTTTGTGTTTTTCCCACACATTAAAGAACAAAAAGAACATACAGCTATCCAGTTTTCCTCCAGGGAGGAATCACATTCAGCAGAGTCACATGGGGATAATCAGATCCCCCCCCCCCAGTGCTTCATGAGTACAGTGCAGAAAAAGAAAAGCAGGTTCTACTCCTCTAAAATTCACACAAACAAGCAAAAGAATCAGAGCAGTTTCTTAAAATTAGAAGAGCATTAAATGGATGAGCCCTATTACTAACAGAACTGCCTAAATATTCATTCAGACACAAGGCTCCAAAAACTCTTACATTATTCTTTGCCACACAACATACACCGATAGGACTATCTAAATAACATCACCTGCTGGGCAAAGTATTCAGTTTTTAAAAAATGAACAACAAATGCCCCCTTACCCACTAATGTGCATTAACAACACCAATTAAACAAAATAAGTCAAAGCAAAGTTAACCCTTAGCAACCACTCTGTAAAATACTGGGCAAAGGATTACCCAAACACTTTTGGAACCATGTTACTTTCAGATCTTTTATGCAAAGTATGTGATTATGCATACAATGACAACAAAAAGATTCATACCTTAATACACGTTATGTATATAAACACAAATACTGGCAACTAATTGTAAACTTCTTTCAGTAAAAGAAAGCTCTTCCAACTGCAGTCCACTATGATCATTTAGCTGTCATTCTTGAGACGTTTCACAGAAGACGGAAAGCTTTGGACTGGCTTCAGACCTGAGTGCTCCCCTGTCTCCGGCTGCGCAGCACAGGCCAAGTGCTTACAGTTAGCACTGAAATTAATTTTGTTCTTTCACAGCGGAGATATATTTTGCTGGAAACACATTAATCCCACCAGAACCGATACAAACACACACATGAGCACTCTGATCCGTTTCATAACCCAACAAACTAGAGCCACCGCAGGTGCCCCGGAGCACCTGACAATTCCTTCTGTATAGTAGCCCACCACACCATATTGATTTATATAATTTGCAAAGACAGGCAAGGGCTGGTTTTCTGCTGTTTTGCCTGTCAGTGCTAGAGACGGGTTCAGGTATATGCTCTCCCTCCCCACCCTCCCTTCCCCGCGATGGCCCTCTCTGTTGTGTCTCCCCGCTCTCGCACTTCAGTTCTGCAGTAAATTCAAGGGGCCACGCACACCTACCCCCCCTCAAAAAAAGCAAGAAGAATCGAGGTGACCCCGGCTCCCTCGCTCACGCGCTGTTAACGCCTCTCCTTGCTACCTGGCTTCTCCACCATCACTCCACCAGGTTGGCCACAAACACGCACGCCTGCTACTCACCAAGCTTCCCGCGGGACTCCTCCAGTTTCTGGATCTGGTTCTCTAGGAAAAGGACAGACACCCCGAACGCCACCACCGCCAAGAGCTGCAACTTAGGCGGCAGCATAATCCGAAGCAGCCCCATCGGCAGCAGCTGCTGCCGCCGCTGCCTGAGCGCCGCCCGTCTGGTCGCACGTCCGCCCGGGGATCGGGGGGGCCCCCGGGGGGGGGGGGGGGGGGCTCAGCCAGCGGGCGGAGGAACGCGCGGAGGCTCGGCGGCTCTCACATTCCTTGGGCGACCTCGCAGCAGCACTTCAGCCTCCTCTCTTTAGCCGCCAACACGCCACCCAGCCTCCCTCAACGGTCACAGGCGCACGCGCTCCCCCCCCGCCTAGCCGCCCGTCTGCGTGTGCTGCTCAGCAACCAAACGCCCGGGCGCACTTACGCCCACTACCTCTACCATTGACCAGCCGGGACGCAGGCTCCGCCCAAATAGCCTCCCCCCATTGGCTTCGCGTCTCTTCATTTCTCGTTTCCGTTGGCTAGACGTCCCTTCAGCCCACCCACACACGCTTCCGCACGTAAACTGAAGGAGCCGTGCCGATGCTCCTCCCCGACACGTTGTGTTCAGATTGGACAAGCTTATCCCAAGGTTTGTCCACCTTTCTATAGGGCATTGGGTGCTCGTGTTGCCAAGAGCCGCTATTCCTCGCAAATTGATTGGACAAGCCCCTTGTCTGTCTTTGCAAGCCGGTCAACTTTTACGTAGACAAGGCAAGAATAGGCCCTCGCTGTGGCGTTTTAGTGATGCCTGAATAAAGGAGGAGTTGACGGGTCTTGAAGAGCGGATGAAACGTCTCCTAGTGAAAAAACGAAGGGCGTTCTTAATTAAAATTCTGTCCGGGTTCTGTTTCAGGGTGATAGGGGGGACTGAAAAAAATTGTTTTATGTCACTCGAATCAGGCGACTTCTTAGTCACCTGATCGGCATGGGGGTGGCTGTCAATCGCTTGCCCGTGGGGCCGGCGAAAGCATAAGTGCCAACATGGCGGGGAAGAAAGGAGTAATGGATCGGGGGCACTATTGGGTGTGGTTGCTGGCGACTTTACAAGCGGTAAGGGACACGTTAAGGGGGGAGGGGGGTTGGAGTTGTGAACTTCTGTGTGGGAACTTGGGGCTGTGTGGAGAGGCCGAACCACTGCTTTTGTCTCTAGCCCTGCCTGTTTTGAGTTCTCACTGTGCAATCCAGTATGTACTTATTTGGGAGTAAGCCCCACTGAACACTGTAGCATTTACTCTGAAGTCAATGTGCACAGGAGTAGGCTGTGATAAGGGCAGTCAACTAGCAAGATACATGCAATCAAGAGAAATGTGACTATGAGCAGAAAGGCCTATTAAATATTCACGATGAAGTAATAGACATTTAATTGGAATGACCGGACATCAGGAGCTGTTTACCATGGTGTGCAAATAGGTGATGAACATGGTCTATTTGTGAAGAGTGCTTTTACCGATAATGCATTTTTATTCAGCAATTTAGTTTATATTATGTATTAAGGCGAAGGTATTGTGATAGAATTTACAATTTGGAGGCATTCTCTCAATGCTTTTTAGTGTTAAGAAACTGATAATTTGTGGACCTGTCCAAAGAGAGTGTAATCTTAGTTTGTTCTATGTATGTGCTGTTGATTAAAAGAAACAGTAATGAAAAGCAAAATAAAGTTATTAATGGCTTTATTTACTTCTGTTTTTAACTGGCCACCATTCATAGTTTTTTGCTCCTTATCTCTGAGAAGAATTTACTATGTATATGATAGATATATAATCATCCCTGACCTGAATAACCCCAGGTCAGCCTGATTTCCTCAGATCTTGGAATCTAAAGAGGGTTGCCACTAGTTAATATTTAGAAGAGAGACCACTAAGGAATACCAGGGTCATGACTGAGAGGCAGGCAATGGCCAACCACCTCCGAACCAGTGTTCCCTCTAAGCTGAGTTGGTGTGAGCCAGCTCACAGAATTTTCGCCTCCAGCTCACAGATTTTTGTCTTAGCTCAGGGGAGGATGACTCCAGAGCAAGCTAATTGATGCGGCAGCCAAATCATTTGCTCACCACTTTCATGCCAGCAGCTCACAAAGTAGAAATGTTGCTCACAAGACTCCACGGCTTAGAGGGAACATTGCTCCGAACATCTTGAAAACCCCATGGAGTGGCCATAAGTCAGCTGTGGCCTGATGACAAAACTAATTGGGGCTATAGGACTTGTTATGATACTATGTAAAAATTTAAAAGAATGTCACAAACCAGAACACAGTGGCAGCATCGCAAAACTGTCTGTCTCCTGCATAATGTACATGACTGTAAGCAAAAGACTGCATTTTCCTTTTCCAATGTTATTTCAGTGTGTGGCATTGTTTTTCTTCTTTAACTATTAAAATATGAAACTCTTGTTGAGGTTTATAGTGAGCATTTGAGTATAAGTAAGTTTTAGTATGATTTTTATTATTTATATATCTGTTTTGAAAAACAATATTTTGAAGGACCTATGTGAGAGACTGGCATCCTTATCCCATGCTTCAAATAGCAAGAGCTCCGTTCTAAGACCTTAGTGGTCCAGTTCTGAAACCTACAACTTGCATGAGGTCTCATTCATTCCTTTTGGTTTAGGTCCTATAAGAATAAGTAAAAACAATAAAAGTATGAAACAAATCAAACTCATAGAATAGCAAAAATAAGCAGTAAGATAGCAATCAGTATCAATGTGATTGTAATCACGGTTAAATTCTTCTAAATTCATCAAGGTCAATGGGCATTGAAGGGTGTAGCTCTGTTTAGGATTGTGCTGTAAGTCAGAAGAAGTAAAATTCCACCATCGAAAGCCTTGCTGAGTAAAAAAAATTCAACTGGTGCCTCATAGAACCGCCTGGGGAGGATAAAGCAACACTGCTGAAAAGGCCCTCTCCTTGGAGGGTGCCATCCCCAATTAAGAAGGCAAAAGGCATGCTAAGGAAAGCCTGTGAAGACAATATTAATGGTTGGGCAGGTTGATGTGGTAGAAAACAATCTTTCATGTACCTGGTCCCAAATGGGTTAAAGATATACAAAATGTATATTCCTCATCAAGTTGCATTGTGGGAAATTGATGTGGGAAATGCAGCCTCTTAAAGATCTGAATTTTCACAAATAACATTTGTTGCACTTAAGTAATGCATAGTTATGGATTCTTGTTTTTAAGTGACTAATGGCATATCATTTTATTTTAGGTATCTGTATATGGAACAGAGTTATCATCAGAGGCATGCAGAGAGTTGGGCTTTTCCAGTAACTTGCTATGCAGTTCTTGTGACCTGCTTAGCCAGTTTGGTTTAAGTGAGCTAGATCCATTTTGTAGGAAGTGTTGCCAAGAAGAAGCTCAGCCTGAAGCTAAAAAGGTACGTTTGATAATGACATCATGCCTACCTCAGTTAATTTAAAGTTGACCAAGAACATAAGAAGTAAGGTTACCTGGCCCAGAGTTCTTTCCTAAAAGTTCGAAATGTTATTAAATCAGGTTTACAAAGAATGTTGACATTGTTCTGCTCCTTGAGCTAGTTTTATTGGCATTTCTAGTACTGGTAATCCCCCCTCCCCCCAGTTCTTGATGTGTCTGCCTCATACATTTTGATTTAAGAGATTTGAGAAGTAAGATTAAACAATGAGGGAAAGCTTTTTTTAAACAAGGCAATCAGTTTCATTAAAATAGAAAGTGTTATGAGCTTCAGGACAGACAGTGTGATGGTTTTAGTAGTATGTATTGTACCATGTCTGCATCACACAAGATGGAGATTTGAGGAGTAGTTGCTTTTGTCTTGCATTTTTTTGTTTCAAAATGCTGTACATTAGGCAAAGTGGTCATTCCTTTTTGTTTGAAATCATATGTTTGTTAGAGCACTCACTGGCCCCAGTCAAGAAATGATTATGTGCAGTGCCACAAGACCACCCAAGATAATGATCAGGGATGCTCACTCCCATCCATATTTAAGCACAGGTGAAAAAAAATCACTGCTATCTGATTCACACAGGCCCCGGTCACACGGGCCGGATATCGCGGGGGGGGGGAGGCAGTTTGATCTGCGATTACGTGATCAGACACGCTGGCGGCACACCACGGGTCCTTCCCTCCGCGCCGGCGGGTGAACGAGGGACTGGAGGGGAATGCTGCGCGCCGGCGCCATCACACCACGGGAGTCTGGAGGCAGCCCATGGCAAACGTTTACTAGTACTTTGGAGGTACTACTTTTTTAACGTGCATTTTCGGCGGTAAGCCACTGGTGTGCTCCACTTCCCAGATGTTGGGGTGTGATTGCGCCCGGATAATCCGCCCACCATCCGTGTCGCTCCTGTGGCAACTTTGCCGTGTGACCGGGGCCATAGTGCATCAGATAATTCTAATAATCTAAACATGTATTGCAGTGTACACATGGATATGTTTTTGGTCTGCACACAACATTTAGTTCCGTAAATAAACCATTCTTCACAGCAGGTACAATGGTTGAAATGACTTACCTGCCACAGTAGTATTTGCTTTTAGTCTTAAATGCATTCAACAGTAAACTGCTTTCTCAGTAAGTTAGAAAATCAAAGGAGGTAGTTTTATTTTTTGCAAACCATATTTTCATTTTGTAGTTATCCGTAACTTGTGCTCATGCACTGTTTTACGTTGGGTGATTCCTGCTACCGTTTTGTTGTCAAGATGAGAATCAAGTCTATTCTGTTGTGTGAAGAAATGGGAGTACAAGAGTACCTAAATATAGACTGAATGTAGCTACCAGTTGTAGTACACTGCTGACTGTGGATTCTTGGTTACAGTGTATGGTATTTTGTGGTTCTGAGCAGTTTGAAAGGAAACTGGCAAAATCTACATGTTTTGGGAGAACTATGAGGCTTGCAGGATATACAGCTCTGGAATCTTTAGAAACATTGAGGTTACTAAATGTGCTTTAGCTTCTTAGATGGTATGTTGTAAGCTGTAAATTTAGGATGTGTATTGAATTTGCATGGATGTGGCTATTCAGAACAAGAGCTAACTTCATTCCATATACCACAATATCAGACCAAATACTATTGGTTTCTGTGGCTGGGTATATCGAGTATTTGAAACCAGTTTTGAAAGGAGAAGATTAATGTTGCTTTTCAGCATGGCTACCTTATTACTTTAGATAACTTTTATGAGTATCATATGATCATAGTAGCCAACAGGGCACAACAATTGTTGTCATATCTGTTTGTAAATAAGAATGTCAGCATTTGGATCAATAAAATGCCAAATTGCTTGGGGGGAGAAATACTGGGGGTTGAATCTTTGCCTTCCCCATCTTTACAATGTATAGAGGGTAGAATACATGCCTTGCACTCAAGCTGTATGAAATCTCTGGTAGCAGAAGACAACACAGATGCTACTCTTCGCTCACTGGAGCAGAGAAGTAAATGGTCGTAAAGAGGGAATTGGGCTTTGAGAATGCTTGTACTCTGAGCCTAATTTTCCTTTCCTACCACAAATTTATTCTAGATGTAAAGTGCAGCTGCCTCTTCACCAGCCAAAAGGACTCTAAGCAGGCTATGAATTGCCCGTAGAACAAGTGTTCCCTTGGAGTGCAGTGTCCAGTACCACAGTGGCAAAGCAGAATAGGGAGGGGAAATGGGCTAATTTGCATTTTTCACCCTTTAGTTGCCACAGTAATGATTCCCCATAAATCTACATATGTCCCCACTTTTAGTTATCATAATTAATAGATGTCTGATGAAATATAAGCAACATTAACTTATTCAGATGTGAATGGGGTTTTTCTCCATTGTTTTGCCCTTGAGAATCACTTTAGCTTTGTACAAGACTAACCTTCTATTTTTAGTAGATGAGTTCTCAATATTCATTATGTGGAGCGTACCCTCTGGGTATTCCTGTTGATTCAGAGAAAGTCTTCAATCAAGTGCCCTTAAATTGTATGCTCAGTGTTTCCAAAATTCTGCTTCTGGGAACAGAATTTGTTATCTTGAACTTATTTGTAAAGACTTCAGGGTTGCATTACTTACCAATAGAAGCTTCTCTGAATGTTTTATCTTGAAAGAGACCTAAACTAGAACTGTCAGCCATCTTCATTATGTAGACAATTGAATTCTGGCAGGTTTTATCAGGCAGACATCCCCTAGGTAACCAAAAGGAAGATTGGCATTTGCAGGTGATCTTGTACAACTTTAATCCAAATATCATCACTTATTTTATTTCCGGATGTAGTCCAGTTTCGGTAATGTTCTGAATAATAATTAGTCCAGGTTAATAATACTTAACCACATAGTAGTTTCCCATAAAATTTAGTGTGGTTTGTGGAAATGATAATACATTTCGGTTCTTTAAAAATAATAAAGATAGCAGGCGGTTCCATGCCTCATTTAATGAAAATCTATTTAATGAAAATAGAATATTTTCAGTAAAATATGGCATGGGGAGGGGTTGTAGTCAGTGTTCCCGCCTAAGCTGAGCTGCTGTGCACCTAGCCACAGGTTTTGGCCCCTTGGCTCACAGATTTGGCCCCTTGGTGCACGACAGAGCGTGAGCCAGGCATGGGGCAGGCAAAGGCAGTGAGCTTGCCGCTTTCCTTCCCAGCCTTTGGGTGAGTAGCGTGAGAGCCAATCAGTGGGGAGGGCCAGAGGGAGAAGGGGACAGACTCAGCCTAGCTGCGAGACGGGACAGGAGGAGGAGTCTCCTTGTCGCACTCTATTGTGTATTTGCTCGCCTCCACCGGTGGTGGTGGGCTCTGGAGGGAGGGGTGGGGGACGCATTGGGGAAGAGGGGGAGAGACAGCCTTCAGCAGGGTCTGGCTCTGGTACCTGTTGTCTGTGGCCCCAGAGGAAGACCACAGCCTCCCCTCTGGCCTGCCTCCACCTCCATTCCCAAGGCAAAAGAAGAAAAAAGGGGTCAGGGAGAAGAGAAGAGAATTTGGGGTTGTCAATGCTGCATCCTCACCTTGGAATCGTCTAGCGCAATATTAGATGAGTCTACTCAGAAGTAAGCTGTACTAACCTCAAGGGTGCTTATTTCCAGTTCAGCGCATTTAGGATTGTGCCCTAAATCCTCCAGAGCAAAAGTCCTCTGATGTAGACTCCTCTGATGTACATCCTATGATGTAAAAAGCAAGCTGGGCATCAAAGCTTTTTTAAAAATAATAACAACATCAGGAGCTGCCCAAAAGTGAGCAGAGCTGAAGCATGGCTCGCCAGCTCGGAGATGCAGTACAGCCAGCTGGGGGGCCAGGCCAGATGGCAGTGGCTCCTGAGGTGAGTGTGCTGTTGGGGGGGGTGAGTCTCTCCACCCCCACCCCCCAGAAGCCCTGGAAGGCCTAGCAAATAGAGACGGAGGAGGGGAGATCTGCTGCTGCAGTTGATGCCAGGGAAAGGGAGGGCAGGGCAGGGATGCTATCTCCTCCAGCCCCAAGGAGGCCTGCGAGAACCCCAGAAGCCCTCCCACTGTTGCCCCCGAAGCACCAAAGAGGCATCAGAGGCAAAAATGAGATTGGAAATTGCCACCAAATGTTTCATCCTGTTGTCCTTAATAAGTAGAGGGGCATATTAGGAAATGCTGGAAGAATAGGTAGGTGGGGAGTAGTAAAGAAGGTGGCTACTGAAATGTAGCTACGAGAAAAGCATTCCTTATAGGAAGACTGTTAATCAGACCAGGATAGTGGGAGATTAAGAGTGCATTTGACTCTTTCTGACTCCTGTGCCCTTCTTGGTCTATCTTTTCTCCTAAATCTATGGACTGCACTGTTGAAGAATGTTTTAAAACAAATCACGTTTGACTTGGAAGAGGCCTCATTAAATGCTAATTCAATAAACTTGATGATATGAGGTCAGGGTAGACAGGGCAGGCATCAAGAGAGTAACAAGCATAATTAACGCATTTACAAATTGGATAAGAAAGTGGATATTTGTTAAATAGAGCATTGTTTCCTCACTATCACTAAAATGGATTTTGCTGCTTATATGGGTAGCATTCTGTTATATATATTCACACACATGCTTTTGTGGCAGCTAAAGGCTATTGTTTAAGTATTATAGCATTTAGTAACATGAGCTTACTGTACTTTCTGAACTATACAACAACTGTGGCTGCCTACAGGGACCTCAGCAATGACTGATCAGTCTCTTCAGCCTGCTCCTGGAAGAAACACAGCAGTTCATCACTCATTACTTATCATCTCTGAGCCTGCCTAGACACCATCACCTCCCATGACTGCCATTCTTGTTAAAAGATCTTTTTTCATATTTTACTCCCCCGCCCCCCAATCCAGAAAGCTGAAGAACATGTTTGGCCCTGGTAACTACCTTGCTTAACTATCGGATCCTCTTCCTGTGGCACCTCAAAAAATGGCATCATGGTTGAGGGCTGGGATATGAG